GTCTTTTTTTTTTTTTTTTTTTGTCTCTTGGCCTAGATACTTTTTTCTCTCACACTTTCTCCTTCCCTTCAAAACAACAACAACTGGGTGTCTAACAGCTAATTGATTCGTTTTTACCCCTGTTGCTGATTGGTGTTGGGTAAATGCAAGGATGCTGGGTCATCCATTTGCCGTTGAAATGATTGCTCTGATACTCACATTAAAATCCGTTTGATCAGTAGTGGAGCAGTTTATTCTGTCTGATTCTTGGAATTAACCCCAGTGGTGTCCTCTGATGTCCGTGTCCTAGATCTGTTCTGCATGTAGGGCTGTGGCTTCTCATGTTGAGCTTCTCTGCACACAGCGGGGCGGCCTCAGTGATAACCCACTCATGCGATTCCCCTTCTCTCCCCCCTCCTGCTGTTCCCCCCCGCAGGCCTCCAGTGGGGCCCCACAGACGAGCAGGATGCCAGTCCCCATGAGCTCCAAGAACAGACCCGGCAGCCTGGACAAACCCGGCAAGCAGACCAAACTGCAGGATCCCCGACAATATCGTCAGGTAGTTTTACCTTAAACCCAATTTTGGATGGACACTCTTACAGTTGAGAAGCAAGTCACTGACTTAGTTCATACCAAACATTGCATTTCCTTTGTGACCTATGGTTTATGTAGATTTCCTGGATCTGGGGCATGAAGAAAGTCTAAAATCCTTTGTTGAACTTTTCACCACGCTTTTGCATGCTTGCAGTAAAACACCTTTTACTTTGTGAGTCCAAAGTTTAACCATTAACACAAGCTGCCACACCAGTTGGCTTTTCTTTGGTGAATGTAGTGGTTCCTCAGAACACCTTGAGAAATGAGCCAGATAAACCTGTGACTGAACTGTCCTGAAGGCACCCATACTAACATACATGTTGACCGCATCGCGTTAGAGGCACATTAACGCTCCGTGGCCATGCCCCACCCCGCCCTGGCAATCACCCAGATGCATGGCTGCCCAGCACCCAGAAATGGTCTTCTTTTTTTCCTGTTCCGCACATCCTCTGCTCTGTACTTTGGGGGTTTCTACCAGGTCCAGTACAGCACATCGAGACTTAGCTCAGGCCCTGAACTGGTTTGGTTTGGTTTGATGTCTTTTATTTAATTATTCTCAGAAGGGCTGTGTTGCCAGACCCTGTGGAATGATCGTGTTACCAGCTTTCTGACGAACTGTCTCCCACCGTCTTTATTTGCAGGCTAATGGAAGTGCTAAGAAAGCTGGTGGGGACTGTAAGCCTACTTTCCCCTCCTTACCTGCTTCTAAGATTCCAGCCCTTTCTCCCAGCTCTGGGAAAAGCGGTTCCCTGCCCTCTTCTAGCGGTGACAGCTCTAACTTCCCTAATCCAACTGCTTCTAAACCATCGGTTACTTCTAACCCTCTCAGCCCCCAAACAGGACGATCTGCTTCCTCTGCCTCCCTCATCCCCTCTGTCTCTAATGGCTCCTTAAAGTTTCAGAGCCCCACTCACGCAGGTAAAGGTCACCATCTTTCATTCTCACTGCAGACTCCAAATGGCCGAGCAGCCCCTCCTGCCTGTCCCTCCTCCCCGCCCTCCCCCGCCTCCCCCATTTCACTGAATCNCCCCCATTTCACTGAATCAGGGTGCCAAGAGCATCAGGACCATCCATACCCCTAGCCTCACCAGCTACAAGGCACAGAATGGAAGTTCAAGCAAAGCCACCCCATCCGCAGCAAAGGAAACCTCTTAAAGGCCAGATCCAATTAGGCACAAGTTGGAGTTACATTTAAAAAATTTTTTTTAAAAATTCTGACAGTCTTTAACAACTGTTTTCACAAGAGAATGTAATATTGCTGTACTGTTTGAGGCTTAATGCTAAGTATGTGCTAAATACTGGATTAATAGATTTCAGTAAAGCTTGTTTTTTGCGTTTGTTTTTTTTTTTTTACTTTGTCGCTGTTGTAATTACATGATGTTAACTGTCTATATTCAACACCTGTTAAATGAAGTAAGCATGTGTTACAGAAAGAGAGTATGGCGAGAGAGAAGGGTGTGTGAGAGACAGGAAAAATGTATTCAGCATGTAAAACATGTATGATTCCAGAATTTTAGTATGTTTTGTATAAAAATATTTTTCATTACGGAGACTTAGAAGTGAACAGAGAAATACTCAAGTGTGACTATACAAATTGTAAAACAGATAGTATAATATTTCCTTTTATTTTAGTGTTATTTAGCTTTATTACAGATTTCTATTTTTGTCAAAACTTCATGGTTCCTTTCAAGATCTTTTTTGCCAAAACATTTTGATACTATAGCATTGTACATTTGAAAGTAGTGTCTAGACAATAAGACAATGAACTTCTGCACAGACCAACCCAGGGGCAAATGTAGAAAGCAATTTATCAAACCAATTGCACTGCCACAAAAATTATGTATAATAATTTGCCAGCCCAAGCAAGCAAATTTTCTTTGCCTTTCTCTCTTTCTTCTTCTTTTTTTTTTTTTTTTTTTTTTTTTTTTTTTT